AGTATTTATGCTGTAAATAAAGTATAACAGTGATGTGTATACCCCGCTGCATTACATTTCCATTATTTGAGTTTTAACATTGATTTTAGAAGGGGTTGATGTTTTTAACAGATTTTTTTTGAGGGATGCTGATGACTCGAAGCTTTGCTTGGTTAGGGTTTACTGCCGTTATTTGTACCTTTTGAATATCTGGAATATTTGATCAACTGGCACACTCCTGGTCCCATAGGTGCTGGTTAATAAAACATTTGCTGTATTTGTTATTGCTGAAAGAAACCTGGCTGACCTGCTCTTAATACTGAACTCAACTGTGTTAGAACCATATACTTGGTCACATCACCAAGCTGTTTAAATTGAACATTTGCCGTGGCCAATGGAACAGTTGGGAGAAGAAAAGAAACAGTGCATGTCTCTATCTCTGAGCCAGAAGATCCAAATTCAAGTCCCAACTGCTCCAGAAGTGTGCAATAACACCACTGAACAGGTTAATTAGAGAATATCTACCCTTCCAACACTGGTTGCAACCAAGTAAAAATGCAACTTGGATTTCCTCTGTGTTGTTACATGTTGAAACAAGCAGTCTGTATATGGTTACAGATTACTTGTTCACTTTCATGTTGTTAGACAATGGTTTTCAATTCTTAAATAACTGCTAATTTTCTAATCTGACAATTTGATTCAGTAAGTTTCAAACTTCTTTCAAGAGGTTGCTGAGGAATTTCAATCTGAATCTAACAGCCTACTAATTGCTCAAACACAGATCAGCTCATCAATAGTTACCTTTCGAAGTATGTCTTCTGCTAATGTGAGGAATGCTTTCTCAATGTTGATATTAGCTTTCGCACTAGTCTCGAAAAACCTAATCCCATGTTCTCTGGCAATCTAGAACAAAACAAATTAGCCAAATCACACAGGATATCAAAGTATGTGCAAAATGAACAAACCACCCAGTCGCTTTCATTGATGTTAAGCCACCGTAAAATATTTCATTATGCACTTACATTTGATGCTCAGCAATTACGGCAAGTATTAGACACATGTGAAATAAGGTGTAACAGTGGCACAGATTCAGTTGATGTTATTAATAAGAGGTAAAGTTTAATTACACTGTTCAAACCTGATTATAGGGTTATTTTATCCCAGAAGTCAGACTCCACAAGCAAAACACCTGACAATGGTTTAGAAGTACTTCAGTCATAATCCCACAATGACTGGTCTGAGTGTTGGCCCTGTAATTTCATTAAAATAGTACGATGGACAGCACTGGCTGGGTGTTATTCCAATGAATATACTTGGAACATAATTTTAATCATTCCATTACCATAACCCTATTTTAATTTCCAGATTTCTCTTTCTGTCCCAAGTAAGAAGCTCATAAGCCTTAGGCCAAAAAGAATCCACAGGTGAGATATAAATCGATTATATATATGCTGAATAGTACCACACAGCATCCATGGGACAAGGTGAAGCAATACACCTCCATGAACTACCACAGCTGGTATGAAAATTGAATTCATTCATGGGAACAGGATGTCACTGGTGAGGCCAGCATTTATTGCTCATCCTTAATTACCCAGAGGGCAGTTTAAGAGTCACATTACAGTGGGTCTGGAGTCGCATGTAAGCCAGACCAGGTAAGGATGCTAGTTTCCCTCCCTAAAAGGACATTAGTGAACCAGGTGGGTTTTCCAATAATCGACAATGGATTCATGGTCGTTGCTAGACTCTTAATTCCAGATTCTTTTTTCATTAAATTCAATTTTCACCATCTACCAGGACAGGATTCAAAACCAAGTCCCTAGGATATTACAAGGGTCTCTAGATTAATTGCATAACAGCAAAAGCTAGAATGATGTCCAGGTCTTGCAGCACATGTTAAAGTGACTTGTGACATGTTGAACACAGTGTAATCAGCATCCTCACTTCTGATCTTATGATAGAGGAAAGGTCATTGATATTTGTAGCTGACAATGATTGGGACAAGGACACTATCTAGAGAAACACCTGCAGCAGTGTCCTGGGGCAAAGTTGATTGGCATCCAACAACCAACTTCCTGTTCTTTTAGATAGTTGATGCCATAGGCATAAAAGCAACCCATCCACTGAGTTTTAATTAGCTTCCTTCTAGCACAGGTAGAGGCGAGGCAGCAAAAGAAAACAAAATGTTTCACACTTGTTTAAAAAAAAAGTAATATTAACAAACAAAGCATCCATCCTGCTCCCCTGTAACAGAGCAAGCGGTTAATTAGAAAGAAAGTGCATCAGAATTGACGCAAAAGACAAAACGAACAGAATCTTGAAATTAATACCATTGCTATTAGTTTTGAGAGAATATTTACATATTGTGTTTTAGGGCCAGCAGTTTTTATAACTAATGGAGTAACTTAAATATGATCATTTGTTCCAACACAGAAAACACAGCAACCAATTTGCACACAGTACAACTTGACCAACAGCAACAAGACAGCAGATTGTATAAAAATTATGGTTAAGAAATAAACATTGGCCAGCACAGTAACAATAGTTCCCTTGGTCTTAAAACATCTAAATGTGCTATTTTGAAATTTGCTAGAGATGACAGAAGGTGCCTTGGTTTAACTCTGCATCATGAAGACAAAAATTCAAACTCTGTATTTGTAATATTGAGGAGGTAACTGGCAAATTACAAGATCCTGAAAAGGACATAGGTTTCATATGCCCAATAGGTATCTCTGCAGCCAAATTAACTATACAAAGGCAGTAACTGCAGAGTGCATTTCTGGATTATGAATTAAAATAAAACACAGCTTCATCCAGAATATTGATTGAAAGCAGTATAGTGATTCCACCAAAGAACACACGAAATTGAAGCCAGGTTTAGTTTCCGGACAACACTTGCTCAGCTCATCAATGCTTATGTTCTCTGCATACATGATCCCTTCCACCTTGGCTTGGGAAAGGAAGATAAGGAGGTGAAATAGCCAGAAGAAAATATAAAATAACATCCAAAATGCTTAAACAAAGACATGGGCTGGGAACAAACATAAGGGCTGCAAAAGGTCATAAAGGCCCTATTTGGACTGGACACCGTAAATTAAGCATAAACATAATAAGCATAAGAAAACTTAAAATTAGAGTGATTGAAGGGAAAAAAATATATAATCAGCACACAATGAGGGGTGGAAAGGAAAGGAAAAGAAATTTAAAAAGCACAATTCATTTGGACTGCCTGCATTGAAATCTTTGAAACAGTATAAATTTCGAAGTAACCACTTCCAGCTATTTAAAATCACTAGAGCAAAAACAGGTTTGAAAAGTAATTACTTCAAAATTGAAGTAATTAAAGACAACATTTGATCTATACTGAATGACTTCATAAATATCAGGGAAAATCAACTGAAAAGAAAAAGAGCTCCAATCACAAAGTGCTTCTTTAGAAGCATTAAAGATTTAGCATTTAGAAGCATTCAAGAACAGCTTCTTCCCCGCTCTTATTAGACTTCTGAACGGACCTCTCAAATTTCAAATCCAACTTTGATCTTGCTTTTGGTGCACCTCTTTGCAGACATAACATTGCATTCCTCACTCTGTTTATTCACCCTATGTTCTTCGTATGTTATGGTCTGCCTGCACTGCATACAAAACAAAACTTTTCACTGCACTTGGTTACGTGAGACAATAAATCAAAATGAAGGACAGGTATTTTCATACGAAAATTTTTAAAAATGGAATCATTCTGGGATGTCTCGCATACTACCCATCACAAGGTTGAAAATGACAGTTTTAGAGCGGATGTACAGGTATTAAATACTACTGTCAACTAGAGGAAAGTCTGAGATGCATTACAAAGAAAGAAAGTAATCATGTGTCAAATATAAATCATTATTTATTTTACCATTGATTCAAAAACAAAAACTTCAAACTGAAGAGAACACAGCAGAAAGCCAGAATCCCATAACACTATTCTTCCTAATATTTGCCTACTTTAAAGTTTGAGATTTGTAGTTCGGATTGTGGATGAGGTTGTAGATATGCTCGCCGAGCTGATATGTTTGGTTGCAAACGTTTTGTCACCCGGAAGTGATACCAAACACCCCAAAAAACCAAGGCATATAAATAACAAGTGGGACAGAACACAGACGCTTTACTGGAGGTGCACTGATAATGTTACCTAGCAGGGTGACAAAATATTTGCAAGCAAATCCATTGGCTTGGCGAGCATGTCTACAACCTTATATGCCTACTGATTATACATGCACCAAGACGTATCAAGCATTCTCCTCAATCAGAAACACTTACAGTTTGATCTTAGGTAAAGTCAACGGTCATGGGTTTAAGCTCCCAAAGGGCTCATGGTTTCAATGCAAGATGAGCAACTGAAAGGAATGATGAAAGTACAGCTATTGTTGCATTGTAGGGAAACAGTAAACAACGTGCGTACTGAAAGGTCTGAGAAACAGCAATAATAAAAACTGTTACTTTAGGTTCTGTTACTTAAGCAATTAAACTTTAGCCAGGACACTGTCTCCATTTTTTGACGAGTGCCATGCATCTTTTGTGCCTGGCTAAGGGGTGAAATGGGGCCTTGAATTAACACTTCACTGAAAATACAGAACCTCAGAGAGGACCATTTTCTCAGAACGGCAATGAAGTATCAGACTCCATTAAGTAGCATTAAGTCTATGAAGGAGGTCATGACACAGCCTTCCTAGTCAAAACAAAAAGTGTTAATACAGAACTAAAACCAACATTTCAAGAAGAAATACAGAATGTTAGATTGTGGAGATCTGTCTGCAGCCCTCAGGTCTTGCAATTCTCCCTTTTACCAAGGAATGGTTGTTGCAAAAGTCCATAGAGAACACAATAATCATTAATATTTTAAAACAAAAACCTGCACAAGCAATTACCTGCTCTCCTTTTGATTTCAGCACCACTCGCTTGTCTTCCATGTCACATTTGTTGCCTAGCAACATCCTCTCTACATCTTCATTTGCATGCTGAAAAATAGGTTTTGGTTGTCAGTTTACTGATTATTAAACCAACCATGTTATGCTTCCAAATTCCCAATCCCCCACGTGGAAAAGAACTGTTAGTGTTGCTAGAACAGATTTAAAATTACCACTTTCTTCTCAATCAGATCAACAAATGAAGCAAAGAAAGTACAGTCACTGAATCGTACAGCATGGAAATGCGCCCTTTGGTCCAACTCATCCATGCCAACCACGTTTCCTAAGCTGAATTAATCCCATTTGCTTGCATGTGTTAGTTTTCAAAATGGTACTTGGATCCATTTGCACAATGAACCTTTTGTTACAACAAGGTGTAGGGCTGGATGAACACAGCAGGCCAAGCAGCATCATAGGAGCAGGAAGGCTGACCTTTCGGGCCTAGACCGTTCATCAGAAAGGTTTCATCAAAACCCTTTTGTTAACAATCTTTGCATCTTTGCTTGAGTATATTTGTCATAAACTAATTCTTATTTACAGAAACATAGAAGATAGGAGTAGGCCACTCAACGCCTCAAAACTACTGCCTCATTCAATATGATTACAGTTGATCTTCGAGCTCAATACCCTCATCCTGCTCTCCCTTCAGATCCCTTGATGCTTCGAGCCACAAGAGCTAAATCAACCTCCTCCTTGAAAACACAATGTTTTGGTCTCAACCACTTTCTGTAGCAGAGAATTCCACAGGCTCATCACCATCTGGATGAAGAAATTTCTCCTCATCTTAGTCCTAAAAAGGTTTGTTTATTCTTTAAACTCCTTAAACTATGACCCCTGGTTCTGATCACCACTGGGAACATCCTTCCTGTATCTAACTTATCTAGTCTTGTTAGAATGATTTATTGGTTAAATAAACTTTGCAATTTTCTGATACTAAACCAAACACAGCTTCATATCTGTATAACTGACAATATCACTGCCCTTTTCATAATTCGAGTTTTATTAACGGCCAGTGGAGGAGTAAAACCAGGAAAGGAATTACTCCACCCCTCCAAACTCAATCCTAATATTCTTTTGTTGGAGACAGCTAACACGGCACCTGTGTGACATTATTGTTACTTGCCACTTATGAGCTCTAGTTTCAATGTTCTCTTTTGTCTGTACAGCTGGCAACAGAACAGAACACTTCTGCCAATATGACTAGCGAAAATATACTGATAAAGTTAAAGATGGTCAATCCTTTACGGCACTGCTGAGTTACCCTGCAATCATGCCCTCTAGCTAAGAAGATCAGTCTCCAACACCTGCCATCTTTCTTTGTGCTATGTACAAGTCCAGCAATTAGAGAGCATCAAGAACAGTTCACTGCACCTAGTAACTCCCACTGACTTTGATTTTACTCTAGCTCCTTTTTGCCAAGTGTAGTCACTCTCATTTCTGGAATTCAGCTCCTTTCCTGCCATCCCACCATTTTTGATCAGAAGTTTAAAACTTTTGTAACCCTCTGTTAGAGATAGTAAGAACTACTGATGCTGGAGTCTGAGATAACACAGTGTGGAGCTGGAGGAACACAGCAGGCCAGGCAGCAGAGGAGCTGGAAAGCTGACGTTTCGGGTCAGGACCCTTCTTCAGAAGAAGGGCCCCAACCTGAAATGCCAGCTTTCCTGCTCCTCTGATGCTGCCTGGCCTGCTGTGTTCCTCCAGCTCCATACTGTGTAATCTTCTGTTGTTAACTTTACCAATTCCACTCTTCCTAACATGCCACTATTCCATTTAAATTCTACAATTCTTCCCACAAACAGGCTTTGTTTTCTGCCAAGCAAGCTACTGATGTTGAATACAATCAAAATAGCTTCTGCTGTGTGAATGGACACAAACATTAAATTTTGGAACCACAAGAAGTAGGATAAGCGAACATGGTCAAGGCCACTGTCAAAAAGTTGTTTCTTTTTTCTTTGTTATCCATTCGCGGAATGAGGGCATTGCTGGCTAGGCAGCATTTGTTGCCCAGAGGGCAGTTCAGAGTCAACCACATTGCTGTGGGTCTGGAGTCACATGTAGGCCAGACCAGGTAATAATGGCGGTTTCCTTCCCTAAAGGACATTAATGAACCAGATGGGTTTTTCCGACAATCGACAATGGATTCATGGTCATCATTATACTCTTAATTCCAGATATTTATTGTATTCAAATTCCACCATCCGCCATGGCGGGATTCGAACCCGGGTCCCCAGAATGTTATCTGGGTCTCCGGATTAACAGTCCGGCGATAATACCACTAGGCCATCGCCTCCCCTCAGTAAGTCACTGCAGTGGAGGCAAAAGAATGAAAATGTTTTAAATATCTGGATGCTGAGAGAGGTTGAGAAAGCAGAATAAAGATCAGTTTCTCAATAAATTATAGATAAAATATTCTTAATCTGTAATTAATTTGTCATCAGGGGGATACGACCAAAGCAGCATAAAGTGCGATTAGGTATTGACTCAACTGCTTTCTTTATGGAACATATTCTAATCATGTCCTGGAAAATGGCCCAAGATTATTTGTTTTTCAGGACATCAGGGTACTCCAGGTTGCCATTGTTTACAATCCTGCACTTTTTTTGGGGACAGAAATACCAGGAAATGACCGGAAACATTTGGCTCATTGTAATTTATTGCAGGTTTATGAACATCTGAGGCAAATCATACTTTAAGTGCAGGTGGATGGAATTACAAAACATTTCCAAAACCACCCACAAAAATCAAATTCCCAAGTTTGATTTCATTAATGAGATGACCCTAAATACTCTGATGTAAAGCAATTTTGTTTCCAGAAGAGTCAATAAAAATTGCATGGTGCACGACATTAAAATTTCAACACCTACTTGACAGCATATTGTGAAGGTTAATTTAAAACCCTAAGCATCTGTGCTGCACGTTTATAAGCAATTAATGAACTAATTGAGGTACCCAGTCTTCTACTTCTTGAATGTGGCAAAAGCCAGAGAAACCATGGTTTTAATTGCTAATTTTGGAAGTACTACTTAATTAACATAGCATTAGGCAGCAGTCGTATACAAATACCAAGTGACAAAGAACAGGCATCATATATAAGAGAATTGCCCACACTAAGAACCTGAAATAAGGCACAAAACATTATTACAATAGCTTTTGCTTGTAGTAAGCCACGGAAACTGGAAATGTAACCAGAACAGAAGGATGATTTTGGAGACAATAAGGACTGCAGATTCTGGAAACCAGGATCTATAGGATAGGGGCTGCAAAAGACAGTATCCAAGGACCAGGTAAGTCAACATTTCGGACCAAAACCCTTTGTCAGGGGTTGCCAATAAACTAAAATCGTTGTTACAATTATCACAAAAGATGCTTAAGAAATGCTTAGTCCTGAATGGGGCAAGTGCTTTATCAAATTACCAAGTTTCTACCAGAATGTATCCCGGAAATATGAAAATCTGTTAAGCAAATTATGATTTAGTACCAATTAGTTCAAACAACTATTTTGACAATTTGGATTTATATAGCACCTTTAAGGCAGTGAGGCGTCATAGCAGCTGAAACATACTGGTCTGAGCTTGAACTAAAGTTATGTAAACAAATTACATTTTCCAGCTGCCTCCTTAAATTTGTGCATTTTGGAAATTTGTTATTTGCACCTAAAATGGTGTCAAGCTTCCAAAATCTATTATCCTTCGTAAAAAGTGGCGCTGACAGTGGTAAATTAAATTGCGAACATAACAACCAAAATATGACTTCATTTTTATATCCATTACTTCAATATAGCCTCTGGAGTTTTATTATTTGGTTAAGGTTGTATTGGCTATGTTGGAATGCACCAGTTTTCTAAGCACATGAATTAGTTTGTGGAGCTAGCACCAACTCAATCACAAAATCAACTTTGTATGACAAATTCAAGACATTGCAGAAACTCTCAAACCTTAAAATAACTCCGCACACAAGACCACCCATGACAAAAGAACCTCCTTCATAAAACAACATTTGTAATAAAATTACAACAGTAATCTTACCTCATCTATGTTCCTCAGCCATTTGCTGATGTTTTCAAAGCTTTTGGCATTTGTGATGTCATAGACTAGCATGATTCCCATTGCTCCCCTATAGTAGGAAGTGGTGATGGTGTGAAATCGTTCCTGTCCTGCTGTGTCCCTTCAAAATGAGTAAAATCAACTATCAGACCTTTTTTAAAAAAACTGCATGCACTTTTACTCAATATAACCCACTATGACGTATCTTTTAGAAAATTAAAAGCATCACATCAACACAGGCTTAAAACTAGAACATTTTGAAATAAGTGTAACTTTTGCCTGTACTTTAAAGTCATGCAGTTGCAATTAAAGTCTAAGCTAAAATTCTTTGAGTCAGTACCTCAGCCAAATATTTACCCGCATGTCAGGAAAAGGGGCTTGGTCCCCAAGCAAATTGCTCAAGTTTAGATAGCAAATGTCATACATTAATGGTGGCACAATTATCCATAGACAGCAATGCTTGTCCAAGTACAGTACAGTAGACTGGAGCAGTACAATACTAAAAAATACTAATCCAGATTCCTAAATTACAATACTGATGCAATTATTTTATTATTTTGCAAATGCCAACGAGGGTGTATTTACAAAATTTTTGACTTTATAATGGCATTTTGATACTGAACGAGAAGGCATTTGTTATTGCATGTTATGACATTTCTGGCCTGCTGTTTCCTTTTTTATAGCGTACAATTGAACTTCCATATACAAATGTAACATACACATTAAGAATTATTACAACTGTTTATTTACGAAGTGAAGGGGTAATCCTGAGCAGTTTAACCAGGTCATCCATTTTGGTAGGAATAACAGCAAAATGGACTATGCTTTAAATGGTAAAAAATTGCAGCACGCTGCTGTGCAGAGGGACTTGGATGTCCTTGTGCATGAATCGCAAAAAGTAGGATTGCAGGTGCAGCAGGTAATTAAAAAGGCAAATGGAATTTTGTCTGCCATTGCTAGAGGGATGGAGTTTAAAAACAGGGAGGCTATGCTGCAGCTGTATAGGGTCCTGGTGAGGCCACACCTGGAGTACTGTGTGCAGTTTTGGTCTCCTTACTTGAGAAGAGATATACTAGCACTGGAGGGGGTGCAGACGAGATTCACTCGGTTGATTCCAGGGTTGAGAGGGTTGGATTATGAGGAGAGACTGAGTAGACTGGGATTATACTCATTGGAATTCAGAAGAATGAGGGGAGATCTTATAGGAACATATAAGATTATGAAGGGAATAGATAAGGTGGAGGCAGGGAAGTTGTTTCCACTAGCAGGGAAACTAGGACTAGAGGGCATCGCCTCAAAATAAAGGGAAGCAGATGTAGGACTGAGGTCAGGAGGAACTTCTTCACCCAAAGGGTTGTGAATCTGTGGAATGCCCTGCCCTGTGAAGCGGGTGAAGTTACCTTGCTGAATGTTTTTAAGGCAAGGCTCGATAAATTTTTGAACAGTAAAGGAATTAAGGGTCATGGTGAGTGGGCGGGTAAGTGGAGCTGAGTCTCAAAAAGATCAGCCATGATTTTATTAAATGGCGGGGCAGGCTTGAGGGGCCAGATGGCCTACTCCTGCTCCTAGTTCTTATGTTATTATGTTCTTATGATGATCAGAGGATTAGATTAGATAGAGTGGACAGTGGGAGCCTTTTTCCTCGGATGGTGATGGCGAGCACGAGGGGACATAGCTTTAAATTGAGGGGTGGTAGATATAGGACAGATGTCAGAGGTAGGTTCTTTACTCAGAGAGTAGTAAGGGCGTGGAATGCCCTGCCTGCAAAAATAGTAGACTTGCCTACTTTAAGGGCATTTAAGTGGTCATTGGATAAACATATGGATGATAATGGAATAGTTTAGGTTAGATGGGCTTCAGATTGGTTTCACAGGTCGGCGCAACATCGAGGGCCGAAGGGCCTGTACTGCGCTGTAATGTTCTACGTTCTATGTTATTTGGATATTAGCGTTTATGGTTTACTAGAACTGATAAACGAACAAGCAAGTACAACAGGAAAGGAAAAATGCTATAATATCCGCCAAAAATAAAATGAATACAATGAATATAAAATGAATAATGAATAATGAATAAATATCACTAAGATAGATTTGGGAGTTAATTAAAATTGTTATTTGTTTATGCTCCACAAACAAATTAGATAACTGGTCCAAAGGAAGTCAGATTGAAAACTGCACAGCCAAAATATTAATCATCCTCAATTTCTAAAAAGATAATGTTTCAAAAAGCCACACTTAACTGTACATTGTATGGAAGTAGTCAAAGAGTTGTAGAGTGCGGAAACAGACTCTTCAGTCCAACTCATCCATGCTGACCAAATATCCTAAATTAATCTAGGCCTATTTGCCAGCATTTGGCCCATCTCCCTTCAAACCCTTCCTATTCACGTACCCATCCAGATGCCTTTTAAATGTTGTAATTGTACCAGCCTCCACCACTCCCTCTGGCAGCTAATTCCACACACGCAACACCCTTTGCGTGAAAACATTGCTCCTTGACAAAAAATGACAAAAACAATGCAATCAGCACAAATCCTTGTGGCTCGCTGATGGTCACAGGCCTCCAGTCCAAAAACCAATCTCCACCACCATCCTCTGTTTCCTATCTTCAAGCCAATTTTGTATTCAAATGGCCAGCTCTCCCTGGATTCCATGTAATCTAACTTTGCTAATTAGTCTACTGTGCTGAACCTTGTCGCACACCTTGCTGAAGTCCATTTAGACAACACCCACTGCTCTGCCTTCAACACATTGTGAAGCTGGAAGAACACAGAAGGGCAGGCAGCAGAGGTGCAGGAAAGTTGACGTTTTGGGTCGGGGTCCTTCTTCAGAAATGGGGAGGGAGAAGGGAGCTCCAAAATAAATAGTGAGAGGAGGGGTAGGGCTGGGGAAAGGTAGGTGGGATGGTGGTACGTGAGTGCAGGTTAAGGAGTAGTGGGGATTGGTCAGTGAGGTGGGAGGACCAGATAGGTGGGAGAGAAGACAGTCATCAATGTAGTGGAGGAAGAAGTGGGAGATAGTGCCAGTGTAGCTACGGAAGAGGGACTGTTCCACATATCCTACAAAGAGGCAGGCATAGCTTGGGCCCATGCGGGTTCCCATGGCCACCCTCTTAGTCTGTGCGAAGTGGAAGGAGCTAAAGGAGAAGTTGTTAAAGGTAAGGACGAGTTCAGTTAAGCAGATGAGGGTGTCGATGGAGGGGGAACTGGTTGGGCCTGCGGGCAAGAAATAAGCGGAGGGCTTTTAGGCCATCTGCATGGGGAATGCAAGTGTACAGGGATTGGATGTCCAATCTTTTTTGTCACCTCTTCAAACAACTCAGTCAAGTTAGTGAGGCCCAATTTCCCACGCACAAAGCCATGTTGACTATCCCTAATCAGTCCTTACCTTTCCAAATACATGTATATCCTGTCCCTCAGAATCCCCTCCAACAATTTACCCACGACTAATGACAGACTCACTGATCTATACCTCTCTAGCTTTTCCTTACCACCTTTTTATTTTTAAAACTAATAGAATTATGATCACTGGACCCAAAGTGCTCCCCCACTGACATCTCAGTCGCTTGCCATCCTTATTCCCCAAGAGAAAGTCAAGTTTTGCTCCTTCTCTAGTAGATTCATCCACATACTGAATAGGAAAACTTTTACACATTTAAATTCTTCTCCATCCAAGCAGTTAACAATATGGCAGTCCCAGGCTAGTTTGGAAAGTTAAAATCCTCTCACATTACATTCTATCATTCCTCCAGATATCAGAGATCTCCTTACAAATTTGCTTTGCAATTTCCCACCCATTACTGGGGGGCTTATAGAGCTTCAAATGTTACTGGTGGCTCTTAGCAGAAAAAGGGAGTGACCTGATTATTACTCAAGAGGAAGCTGGACGTGTTCTCAGGGAGCAAGGAATAGAAGTATATGTGGGAGATTTAGAGGAGACTTGCATAAAGCATAATCACCAAAGATTATAGAATCACAGAATCCTTAGAGTGTGGAAACAGGTCTTCGGCCCATCAAGTACACAATGGCCCTCAAAGCATCCTACTCAGATTCATTCCTCCATAACCCACCTAATCTACACATCCCTGAACACTACAGGCAATTTAGCATGGCCAATCCACCTCGACTGCACATCTCTGGGTTATGGGAGCAAACCAGAGCACGCAAAGGAACCCACGCAGACACGGGGAGAATGTGCAGACTCCACACAGATGGTCACCCAAGGGTGGAATCGAACCCGGGTCCCGGTCGCTGTCAGACAGCAGTGCTAACCACTGAGCCACCGTGCCGCCTGGGCCAAATGACTAATTTGTGTACTATAGAATTGTACATAATGAATATTACTATTAAATTTGATTGAGCACTATAATAACAGACCTTAAATATTGACATATAATTGGGAAACCAACTAACAGAATGAGAACAATGCTCAAAAACAGAGAAGAGGTAAAGTACTCTATAAATCAGCAGTAGGAGGAAGAAATGAAGTCACAGAGGGGGAGTTCCAAAATTGCAGTGTCGATCGAGTTTGTGGTATAATAAGTTATAATTGCATTTATTTCTTTAGAAAAATCTGGAGTACATTAAAAGATTGCAATAATCTTCTGAACATGACTTAAAATCAAGTTGGTTTTCAAATGTATTGTATTTTTCAGAAAACTAAACCAATGGAGTTTATAGGGTTCTGACGACAGGTCACCAGACCCAAAATGTTGACTCTCATTTTTCTTCACAGATGCTGCCAGACCTGCTGAGCTTTTCCAGCAACTTCTGTTTTTAAACCAATAGAGTAGTCACCTACTGTTTTCTCCTTCTTTACCATTACCTGTATCCAGCCACAAAAGTACCTTTCCTTGATAGGTAATTCGTAAAAGTTCACCACTTACCATATCTGCAATTTGATCTTCTTTCCCTGCAGTTCCACCGTTTTGATTTTAAAATCAATTCCTGTAATTGTGAAGGCAACAATTTTAAAAATACTTTAAAACTTCATAGAGTTTTAAATTAATTAGGATTCAGATTAACTAACAGTTTAAACTCAACTTAAGATTGACTTGGTTCTATCTGCTGGGTTTGACAGCAGAATGGATTCTAACTTGAGCATGCTAAAACAGGAAAATTATAACTATTCTATTTAATATCTTCACTACTTCCCATTAAAAAAAACTTACAAATTTTGATTTAAAAACTTACATTTCATAAATAACATGCTGTTATTTTCTTTAGAAAACAAGTTCTCAATTAGAGTTTTAGGCTGCTAACAGAAAAGGTTACAGATAAAAAAAAGCTGATAATCTTAAACTGGCAAATTAAATCAATGAACACCGAAGCACATGTTGACTCTAAGAATTCCCTTTTTTTTTCCCCAAAGCCATAGGCCTACAGGTATAGTTAAAAATAATTCTTAACAATGAGGTTATGAATTTGGCCTTTGTCTACACAATATAACAACTTGAAAATTATCCAAAAATCAGAGCTTTTAAAAAATGCAATGTCATCCAAATATTTCACATCACTTGCAGAACAGAGTAAGCTATTACAATGCAAATACTCCCTCATCTGAATTTTGGGTACATAGAACATAGAACAGTACAGCACAGTACAGGCCCTTCGGCCCACCATGTTGTGCCGAACTTCTACCCTCAACCTAAGGTCTATCTAACCTCCACCGCTACCTTATACTATCATCCATATGCCTATCTAATAGCCACTTAAATGCCCCTAATGAGGCCGACTCCACTACCCTCTCCGGCAATGCATTCCACGCCCCTACCACTCTCTGGGTAAAGAACCTACCTCTGACATCTCCCCGATATCTACCTCCACTCACTTTAAAACTATGTCCCCTCGTAAAAGCTACCTCTAACCCAGGAAAAAGTCTCTGGCTGTCTATTCTATCTATACCTCTGATCATTTTGTACACCTCTGTCAAGTCACCTCTCATCCTTCGTCGTTCTAAAGAGAAAAGCCCTAACTCTCTCAACCTTTCCTCGTAAGACCTTCCCTCCATTCCAGGCAACATCCTGGTAAATCTCCTCTGCACCTTTTCTAACGCTTCCACATCTTTCCTGTAATGAGGTGACCAGAACTGGACACACTACTCCAGATGTGGCCGAACCAGGCTTTTGTATAGCTGGAACATAACTTCACGGCTCTTGAACTCAATCCCTCCATTAATGAAAGCTAAAAGTAGCTTCCCTCAAGGAAAATATTCAGATGTTTGAATAATTTTACAGCTAATAAAGAGGAATTACAGAAAATCCCTCAAGATCAACAACTAATTTGCCACCTCGTCCTGATCCATCTATCAGGAAATATTAAAAAAAAGGAAATCTATGCAAACTTTACTGTTGGCAGCATCTTCCTTTTAAAGGGGAGACAGAATGGTTCATTCCACCAATTACTTCAGCACTGGTTATGAATACAACTTAGCGGTACATTTGTTACAGTAAGAAATCATTTATGTTCAACCCATACGAAAAGAGTAGAAGTCTGAAATCAAAACAGTGCTCTAATTATGAATTACTCTCTATCTAGTTATGTTGTGGAGGTGCAGGTGTTGGAATAGGGTGGACAAAGTCGGGAACACTTCAGCGGTCAAGGACATTTAGCTTCCGATCTTTGGGTAAGCATCCTCCTCCAAGGTAGCCTTCGAGATACAGAACAACACAGAATCGCCATGCAGAAACAGACAGCCTAGCTCCGGAACCATGAAGATGACCTCAACCATGACCTTGGGTTCATGTCACGCTAATGTGACCCCACCACGCTGTTCTGTATCTGTAAAATCGTTCTTACAATCCTGTTTTGACATCATCACCTGGATAACTTTTGATCTCTCTACCTTAATTAGTTTATACAGTTTTGGATTATTTATTACTTGGGTTAGATCCTCAGCATATGACTCTTATACCCATCATGTTATTCCAGTCATATTGTTTGTCTCCAGCACCACCTTATTTTTAATCTTTTGTAATTATCTCTCTGCCTCATTTAATCAGATTATAAGGCATCCGTTTGCTTGTTATTCAGCTGTTGACACTTTACTCACACCATCTAACATTTCTGATCACCTGCAGACTTATTATTCGACTCATCATGTGTATGATCTTTTGATCTCTCTGCCTATAAATTCTGTGTCTGTGTGCTTCCCTCTCACTTCACCTGAAGGGGCTACGTTTCAAGAGCTTGTGATTTCAAATAAACCTGTAGGACTATAACCTAGTGTCGTGAGACTTCTGACATTATCTAGTTATACAGTGTAAAAATCAGAAAGACAGCTCCCTATCGACATTTGCAAATAATAAAAAAAGTGTATATATTATCACATCAACAGTAAGGTTAACAACTGTAGCAGTCACTTTACATTCAAAATACAGTTAACTAGTTTTTCTTATTTACTTTGTTTTTGAAATCAACCTGTTCAGGGATGCTATTACTCACCTCTGGAGCAGGTGGGACTTGAACAAGGTCTCCCAGTCTAGGAGTAGGTACACACTACCACTGCCTAAGAGGCATTGTACAATAGCTGTTTGGTAGTACAGAAATTGAGTACTGCTGACAACAGATACTTTGCTGAAGCTTTTCTTGCACTCTTTGGTGTTTCTAAGAAAATTGTCTTAATGTAAAGGAAAAATAACATTCATACCACAAGAGTGAACTGACTGGTTGGCTGCACCAGTTAGATGATGTCTAACTGTTAACTGTCAAGCATTGTTCAAGCTTTAAATTAGGCAAGTTGATTCTAATTGATTCACTTCACAGTGCAATGCCGACAACAGCGCAACTTCCACCTGTTTTGTTGAGTTGAAACAATAGAATTGTCAGTCAGGTTTGCATTGTCAGAAGTCACACGACACCAGGTTATAGTCCAACAGATTTATTCGAAATCACAAGCTTTCAAAGCACTCCGGAGGCTTGTGATTTCAAATAAACCTGTTGGACTATAATCTGGTATTGTATGACTTCTAACTTTGGCCACCCCTGTCCAACACTGGTGCCTCCACATCAGGTTTGCATTGCGTTTCATTTGTGCGTCCTGGAAGCTGCATATATTAATATACAAGGCCCCTTTCAAACAGAATGGCACAATGTACATATAGTTTCTGCTTCAACCCCGAAAAAAATGTAAGTCACACTCCGGTTAGTTTTTCAGAGCAACACTTTGATCAATCGGAGTCAACCTGCTTTGTTTAAAATCTAAACAAAGTTAAGTAGTCAATCGTTAATCATCTAACTGTGCATTCTCCATGGCATCACATCTACCCGAGTCCACTTGCCAACCAATCTGTATTCTCATCTTACAATAAGTTTTTTCACTTTACGTTGGGACAATTCATGAGAAATATCAATATAAGAGGAAAAGCTTTGACAAAACATGTTTGCAGCAATACTCTAATTTAATTATGATAGCTGTGAAATTGTTGGATAGATAGGAACTTAGGAGCTAAATTGGCCATACAGGCACCTGTGATCATGGCTGATCATCGACCTCATTGTCATTTTCTTGCACTGTCAAAATATCCCTTGATGTCATTTGTTACTGGAAACCTATTAACCTCGATCTTCAACTTACTTAATGACTGAACTTCCACATCCCCCTAAAGGTGGAAAACTCCAAACAGTCACCACTATATGAATGAAAATGTTCCTACTTACCTCTGCCCTAAATGTTACCTCTGCCCCGTTTATTCAGATACTGTGTCCCCTGGTTCTAGACACACGTCAGAGTAGGCATGCTTTCTGCACTTATGCAGTTAAAGGCAATGCCCCAACACTACTTTTGCAAACATTTCATAAATGGACAAACAAATTCAGACAATACCAAAAAGCCTTCTTCCAGCTTGTACAAAAACTCACTCCAGTAGAAACTACAGCACTCTCCAATTGCAAGTTATTTGCATTCATCAGAAACTCACTACCAACATTATTGCTTAATATGTCAGGTAAATGGCAATCTTAAGTTTCTCCACTCCATTTTCAGGACATGCCAAATATATACTTCAAATTATACTCGTATATACAAGCTGCTCATAGGGCTATAATAGTGACAATAAGAGCAGCATAGTTTAAATAAGCAAAAAGAAAATGGGATACATTCCATCTACAACACAATTAAGAGGGACAAATGAGGAAACAAATTATAGGGAGGTGACAGTATTGTTCAAAGATTCTGTGTAAAGGGATGATATGTGCTGGAGGACTCAAAGGCAGAACTGATTTGGTTTGAGTTAGAAGCAAACACTTTAATGACACATGGTATACAAACAAATGAAAAGTGGCGAGTAGTTTGAGGATACAATTTCCAAGCATTGGAAAGTTTTAAAACAGTAGAGTTAACATCAGACTTCCATTTTCCTAATACAGACCAGAAAAAAGTAAGTGCAAGGGAGGGAAGTAACTTTGGAAAATGTCTGGGTAACTTTCTTGATCACTGTTTCCACACTATTGAGAACAGAAGCAGATCTAATTCTGAGGAATGGAATGAGGCAAGTGTAACATTTTTCATGGGCAAGGATTTGCAGATACAATTGTAAAGATACAATGGGTGGGCTTTCAAAAAGAGATCATTTGGTAGAAGACTAAACTACCCACAAGAAAAAAGGACGTTAAATTCAGCTACTTGGATGGTTTTTGAAAGTTGACATTAAAAGTGCAAAGAGAGGTTTTCAAGTGCATAATAAAGTACAGAAGCAAGCAGATTATAGATACACAGAACTGTATGTGGAAAGGGGTAAGCTGACTAACAATAGAGTAGAGTAATTTATAAAAAGAAACAAAAGTCTTTTGAACAGCTGTTAGTGAAGCAATGACAGATCTAAGAAATATTTCAAAAACAATGATATGCTCCATTGGGAAACATGACATGGAGATGCCTATGTTGAGCTGGGGTAGACAAACTCAGAAGTCACACGACACCAGGTTATAGTCCAACAGGTTTATTTAAA